TCGAAGTAAATTATATATGTTATGTCTTTTTATCTAATTTAATATTTTTTAATAATTTATTGATAGCAATAAATATTATTGATTTTTTTTTTATATTTTTTTTACATGTGAAATTATAAATGTGAAATATATATGCCATTTTAGTGAAATAATCTACTGTTATTAACATAAATTCATAAGAACTTGAAATTAAAGATTTGTAATAAAAATCCATTGAAACAAAGACTATGATTGTTTTGGTATAGTGGTTGGAGAAGTCTATAAAATTGATGACAAGGAATTTTTTATCTTAAACATATATTACATGATTGTGTAAATTTTTTAATTGCCTTCTATGTTTGAGACTACTAAAAATCTCTTAAGATTATTTCTAAGATCTTATTATATGAAAATGTTATGTAGCTAGAAAGTTGTAATGAACTTGAACTTGTAATTGTACTTCATTATCTAAAATATCTAAACACCCCTTAAAATAAAGTAGATTTTACTTGAATTCAAACTTTAAAATATTATAATATTAAGATGGATTATTCTCAATATCATAAATAAGAAAATCTCAAGGCATACTTAATTAGACTTATTTTAGAAAGTTTAAATTAACAACTAATATTGATTTTATTACTTGAAGATGAAATTACTTTAGTTTCAATATTTTTTTCGTTCTTGTTGATCAAAAGCTATATCCACTTTTTTTGGTACAAGATAAGAATATTTAAAAAAGATGTTTGATAATTTTTATTTTTTTTTTAGTTGATAAATAATAAATATAAATCTCAATAAGGACATACTCCACAAGGCTTGGTAATGATTCAAAACATGTCTTGATATGAAATATTTAAGGTTTCTATGATCTATATAAAAAATTATTATATTAGAAGTGGCTTTTAAATAATAACGCCTTCTTGAAATGAAGCAACAATTACAAAAAGCTCTTTGTTATAGATCTTGTAAATTATCTCAATTATTAAATTTCTTTTTGAATGAAAAACTACTAGATAAAATTTGTCATTTATTCCCATTTGTGACAATATTGCACCTTAGACAAAGTTTGATGTTTTTTTTCTATAAAAATATGCCTAAAAAGTTGATGTAATATAATATTGGTACAAAAATAAAAGCTATCTTCAAAGCTTCAATTGTTGCTTTAGCTTCTTTATTCTATTTAAGTTTGTCTTTATAAATCAAATGTATAAATGAAGCTACAAATTGAAAAAAATTCTTAATAAAATTTTATTAATAATTATCAAATTTTAAAATATAATATAGATCTATTATTATTTTTGGAATCTTTCAATCTATAATAGTTTG